GGGGCATGCATGATCTGAGGGATGTTGTAACTGCACTCTACCTTTTTAAGATCAACTCGGTAGTTTCGTCCACCATAACGTTCGCCGCCCAAGCTTGTGCCACCCTTACCCCGTATACTAAAGATATGGCGGCGGGGTCCATACGGCTCGGCAGTGTGCTGCTTGGCCAATTCCTCGGCCTCCTTCAAATGTTCAGCTCTGGCCTTTCCAAAACGCCCCTGCTCAGCTAGATTCCTCTATGCAAGTTTCCACCTCTTCATAAAATATTCGTTGCACTTATGAAAGGAGAACTCAACAATTCCAGACACAGGCAACGATCGAACTCCACTGAATACACGGTTGAAGGACTCCGAGGAGTTAGTAGTCATGATGTCATACCTGAAACCCCCCTCGTCATATGCTAACGCCCACTGAGCCTTCTGTTAGAAAAGTGCCATCAACAAGTACAACTGGCCGACAAAACTGGAATGCATGTTCTGTTTGCGCGAACGACCAGAACACACGATAGAGGACATGTCTCAATGGGTCCCGAAAAAACATCCCTCCGGTGTCCACAAACCATTTCAAGCCAGGGTTGTAATAATGCATTGCACATAATATACGGGGCACCCTGTTGTACGCTTCCTCCCAAGTACCCCATCGAATCGCGAGAGCGATTTGCTTAGCACGCCAAGCCTTTCCGTACGACACATCGTACCTAACGAATCTAGATATAGACTATTGTAAAGAAGACACCGAGATGTCGTTATTGTCATCAACGAGCCCCAATATATGATGGGAAAGGTAACGTGCAGTGAGCTACTGATGATTTTCCTTCCCCCTATTGTCTAGGCAAGTGTGGGGTTCAACAACTTTAGTTATCCTCCACTTGCCATCACTCTGTCTCCTTCGTGCATTTAACCTCCACAGACAACCATTTTTGCATATCAAGTGGTACCTCAACTCCTGGTCCGAATAAGTGACGGTGCATGATCTATGGTGGTACACAGCATAGTCCTGAAGGAAGAGTTTTATCTCTGACATTGTGTTGAATATCATCCCCTTCCTAAGAGGTTCTTTCTTATGGTTATACAATGAATTCCTACACAGCTAGAGACCGGTATCACAAACTGTCATATCCGTCATGCTGACATCCCTATAGTTCGGAACGCCCATGAAAGGTACCTTCTTGGACCTTAGTTGCTCAAGCTCAGTCGCTGTGTAAGGTGGTGGTGGAACATACTGCTGCGCTTCGCTAATTCTGGCCCATAAATCATAGGGGTTATCATCTGCAGCCAAATCTGTGACTAGTCTACCCTGAACATGGACACCATGCAAAACCTCAGTTGGTACTGGTAATGGCATAGTATGAACTGGCACTGGCATGGCATCAGCCGGTGTTGCCATAGCATCTGTACCTCCTTGGTTATCATTAGAATCGTCTGAATCACTGCTAACTACATCACCGATCCTGTCCTCCTCCTCCTGCTCCTCCTCTTCCCGTTCGAACTCATTCACATCAAAGTCATTGCTTATATAGCCTACTGCAGTTGAATGAAACTGCTCCTACGTCAACTGACCGTCTAAATCCATGTTATCCTGAGTTGCTTCCCCTTGGACACCTAATTCTTGTTCATTGCCTCCAAAACCATTAATGGGTGGGCCGTCCTACACACCATGCATCCTGTACCCATTCTCCACCACCACCTCAGCCATGGGCATATTGGAACTTTGGAGAACCCTAGTGTAGCGGGACCAGTGAGCAGGGTCGCGCAAGGGCATGAGGATAGTGTGCCCTAGTTTTCTCAGTATCAAACCTCCCCTTCAGTGTGAAATCACCCCAAACTTTGTATTCAAATGGACATAAAGGTCGTTGAAGCTAGGAGGTTCATCAAACCATTCCAACTCTTCTTCCATATCCTCAAACATACCATCTTCTCTCCTAACACTTCCTCCGTACAAAACTCTAACACAACAATCCAACTGTAAAAGCATTTCAAGAAACTTCGTCAAGTCATCGAAATCATCGTACGTAATGTTCATACTAGCGTTATTACATTTTCTAACTATAACTATACTAACTAATCAAATATTAACATCTATACAAGGCTAACTACAACAACTTATTAGACTAAATCCAATGTACAACTAGAGTCAATAACTGTACTAACTAAACTACCTTACTTTACTACATATACTAACTTATTATATTACGTATACTAACTAAACTAACTTTACTAACTATATTAACTATACTTTGATAATTTTACTAACTTTATTAACTGTGCTAACTATATTAGTGGAGTACCTCATTGCAGTTAGCAAGAAGACCGGACGGGGCGTGGGCGTATGCAGTTTAAAGCGGGCACCGCCTGCAGTAATCGGAGGTTCTGGCCGGAGGGGAGGCGCTACGTCTTGCAAGTGCGGCGGCTGCACCGGCCGGCCGTGACTGGCCCGTTTGCTGGTCAAGCTTATCGCTCTGGTGAACGCTGGTGGCTTGCCATATAGGCGGCTGGTCGTGGCGCGACGCGGCATGGCGGGCTCGGCCTCGGCGCGGCGGCGGCCAAAGCGGCGCGCGGCGGCAAAAGGTGACTTGTTGCGTTCTCACCGAACGGCGATCGCCGCAAGAGACCACGGCGGTGGTTATATTCAGCTCTCGCCACTGCCACGAATCGTATGCGACAAAAGCCTTTGCCACGCTGATGTCAGTGGTGATGGTCGCCGCCACGTCGAGGCCTTTCATCATACCGCCATGCATGGCGCGACACAGGCATTTGGCCGCGCCAGGGCAATAGGCGCAGCCAAAAGTGTTAGTTTAAAAAAAACCAGATTTAAAATTAGTTTTGAAAAAATGTTAAAATTAAAAAAAAATCAGTCCGATCTACCCTTGATGTGGCGCTACGTCATCAAAAAAACCCCGTGAAACCACCTAGGTGAAAAACAAACGGCTGTAAAAGTTGAGGAGGTGTAAAAAAACAGTTTTATATATGAGATGGGCATTGCCTATCAGTTTTAGGGCCCAGCCCAACCGGCCTGGCCCAGATCAGCTCTCTCCTCTTTGCGGCCTGCCTGAGTGGGCAGCCCAGGCCCAGCCAACCCCTCCCCCCTCTCTCCCCTCGGCCGGCCCAGCACCCGCAGCCGTTCACGTCGCCTCCCGCCTTGTTTCTGGCCCAGATTGTTTTCGAACAGTTTTCTGCTTGTGTTTGGTGTTTCTTTCTTTGTTGGTTTAACCATGGGTGTGGGCCTAAAATACAATCATTTCGCTATGTACATTGCAATACTTACAGATCTGTGTTTAGGAAACAGATGTGCGCGTGCGTGTCTGGTCGCTGCTGGCGTGGTGAGTGAGGGTCACCGTATGCCCCGGCATGATCACCTCAAGCAATGACTGAGTTGTTGCGCGCTAATCAGCGTCCTGTTCGCTTGGCCGATAAGCCATGCTAAAAATATTGTTGGCTGATTTACTGTAGGAGAAAAATATTATTCGTTGACTAAAAAATACGGTTTATAAGCGAACAGAACGCAGGTCGAGCTGTTGTGTGGCATTCTGGGAAGTGGAAATGGGTGCTGCGCTCGACCATGTCACCATTCAACGAATGACCGAGAATACAGTACATCCGTTTTTAGATGAAAATGTAGGCATACCTGAGGACAAGATTTGTGAATGGCCCACCGTCTGCTCTCAGAACCATTTGGTAAAGCAATCACTGTTGTAAAACGCCCTCTGCAGCAGCCAGCAGTGTTTGGTAGCCTCATGTATACGACTTAGGGGTCGTTTTGGATTCCTTCATTTTGGAGCAATTGAAATCTATATAATGGATTATATCATTTGGCTTGGAATTTGACATTCCATGACTCTCCTAAGCTCATAAATAAGGCTATCTCAAATTTATAGGATGGGAGATAGAAATTGATCCTATAGATCACTATGCTATAATTCTATTCTCCAATTTATAACACACTCTTCAACTCACCTCCCTATAATAGAAATGCAACATATAAGTATGTCCCTTGTATGTCTAACAATAAACATATAAATATATTCCATATATAATTATATTAGCTTAATTAATCTATTCCTAAATTGTAATTATAAAAATGAATTCAATTCCAAGGATCCAAACGGACCCTTACTGAATTCGGGTTTGTGTTTTGTTTTCATGAGCAACTTCTCTCTGTGTTAAGATTATGACAATAAAGGCCTTGAACTTGATGCTATTTTATTTCTTAACTTGAGAACTTTTATAAGACTTCGTCGTTCCTTGAGAACATGAACTTTGCAAGAGAAATGAAATGTGATTTTGGATATCACAAATGCTGAGGAATGAAATGTGATTTTTTTTTCATTTGCAAGGTTTACCTAAACTTCCCATTAAAACAAAGGAGATTTCAATAAGCTGTATAAAATGGAAGCAACTTTATCCGGTAAATACGACTACTTGATGTTATTACATGTCAGACTATGTAACACTCAAATCCTGATGCCCCGCCGCAGCTCTGCTTTTTGAAAGGAAAAAATTTTATAAAAAAATGCTAACTGATCCGTGTCTGTCTATACTGCATCTGCTTTTTGCTAACCGATCCGTGTCTGTCTATACTGCCTCTGTATCTGCATTTTCTCTGTCTCCTGTGTGTCTATACTACGAATGCATGATGTTCATTCATGATGATACACAGCGTATGTCTTCGTGTCAGGGCAGAGTTGATGTGGATGATGGCCTGCTGCAACGATAGAGGTAATAAGGAACTGAAAAGATGCATCAATGCAGATAACCTCAATATGACTGAATTGCACTTCCATATGTTTTAGCAACAGTGCAGCTGGGCAGACATTCAAATCAGAACGACATGATGTGGATGATGGCATGTTCGGATGGGGCTGAAACGATCGTATACGATCGTGGATTATTACTGCTGACTGGTTTGGTGTGAGAGAAAAATACTGTTCTGGCTGAAAATTTACGATCGTTTACGACCAAGCGAAGAGGCCGATTAGTGGGGTAGATGATCACCTGCTACTGTTATGAATGCATCGCGATCAGCTCATCATCTTCACATTTTCTGATGTTAAGGCCTATGTTAGTATCAGATGAAGAAGGTGCGATGTCACAGCAATGGCGTCTTAAGGCCTGAAAATGCAGAACATTCAGAAAGGGTTTTAAGATGTTAGCGTAAGCAATGCAGGTTAAGCAACCACTGATGCCAAAACTTATCCCTACTCATACCTTCCCAGGAGCCAGCTGCAGTCGTTCTGATGTCACTTTTATCAGACGCAGATTCTTCAGAGGGATCAAGTCAGGCGAGCATTTCCTAGGTGGCTGTCTATTGTAGGTGGTTTCTGTCTTGCCTTCCCCCGAAGTAATGCTTTTCAGGAAGAAAAGACCTCCTCTTTTTGCACTCATCTCTGGGGTAATGTTTGGTGTTAAACATATACACATCTGTAACATTCCGACCCCTTTTCCATGGTACAAAGGTTTTCTGCACAGCAAGGAGGTCAGGGAGCAGCACATTGCCTTTGAACACCTGGACTGAATAGCCCCAAGAGACTGACACTGTAAGCGATTTTTTTTGGTCGTAGCACACTGTTTGTTGCAGAATCCTGGCTGGATCAGCACTAGCAGCTCGGAAGAAATGTTGCATTGCTCTTGTCCGATCCATTCCAGGATAAAGAGGATACACATGATCGAGATGGTGCAGTGAAACGAAAGGGGAAAGAGGATGTGCTCTTAGCAGCCCAGAAATATCGCCATGAAGATCGATCTGGTCAAAACAAATGCAACAAAAAGAATAATAGATGTAAGTCCAAAGCTAAACTTTTCTGGCATATTTTCAAGTAGACTAAACATTATTTTGTACATAAAAATAAAAGTATTTATAGTGGCAGTACTCTTTAGGTTTTGCTAATTGCCAAGAGCAGAGTATAAAGTAGCACAAGCAAATACGAAATGGACACCACAGCCATGACAACTGCTGTATAAAAATTGCAATGCCATACGCTTCAACAACAAGCACTAGTATTGACCAATGGTTTAGTATAAATTATAGGGATGTGTGCCAGCATGGTCCTAAGCAGCAATACAGATCACCTTTGAATAGATAACTATTTTTAAAGTGTCCTCACTTCAACATCCGTTGATGTACTATACTACCAATACAGATCACCTTTGAATAGATTCAGCACTACAAACTACCAAGTGGCAGAGGTTAACCAGTAGCCATCACGATGTGTGGTTACATTTCTTTAGAGAGTTCTAAAGGATAAGCTTTTATCCAGGGATCAACAGGAAAAATGCAGGGAAGTTCATCAACTGACATAGTTCCATTTTTCAGAGACCTCCAGACCGGTAGCCTAAAGTTTGCCTTTTGGCAGCATGCTTCCTACTTGCAATGGCCACACAACCAAATGATAACAATATCTAATACAAGTCAATTATAAATCTCAGCCACAAAATATCATCAGAAAATTAAATATCAACAACAACAAGATGCCTTGTCAAAACAATCTGAGCGCCCTACGTGCTACTGACATCCGAGGAGAAAGATCAGTTATGCCACGGATACTTTAATGGTGCCTCCATCAGGTAGTGGTTTCCATGTCTCTACCACAATAAACTACTCGAAGGAGGAATGATTGTCATTACGAGGTAGGTTGTCCAATTTGGTCAGACAATTCCTGAGACAATCCCCTAACTACTGACCCAATTTAACCCAAAGAACACCAAGAAAAATTTCATCTTTATGGCAACTGCTGATATCAAATGTAATCGAACATTCCATGATCACAGAACGAACAACAGCATATGTGAGAGTACGAAGAAGAAGAAGAAGAAGAAGCAGGCACCTGGTGGAAACCTGGCTCGTGGGTGAGCTCGACGCCGAGCTCGGCGAGGCAGGCGTAGATCCTGGCGTCGCTGCCGTAGAGGTGCGGGTACCTGAGCACGCAGGAGTCGACCACGCGCGCGAGGCGGCGCGCGAGCGGCCAGCTGACGGCGATGCCGCCGCCGCCGTATGCCATGGCGAAGCCGTGCCACGCGTTCTGCGCCGCGGACTCGGAGCGCGCGCCGAGGTACCAGGGCTCGCGGTGGTCGTACCTGCGGAGCGTGTGGAGCAGGTTCGGGAGCACGAAGGCGGTGTCGTCGTCGGCGAGCACGAGCCACCGCACCTCCTCCTCCTGCAGCTGCTGCTGCTTGAGCGCGGAGACGAGCTCCCCGGCGATGCGCGCGACGCGGACGGCCGAGGGCAGGCCGCGCGGGTGCGTGTAGGGGAAGTGGGACGCGTCGGCGGAGACGCGGAGGGCGAGGCCCGGCGGGAGGTCGCGCGCGTCCGCGTCGGGCGCCGGCGCGTCGAGGAAGAGGAAGGCGCGCGCGGGGGCGCGCAGCCAGAGGCGGAGCAGGGGGAGCCGGAGCGGCAGCGTGCGCTTGGAGGAGGCGATTCCGAACACCACGTGGCGCAGGGACGTCGGCTCCGATGATGAATCCTCCGGCTTCGGCGCCGGGGGCGGAGGTACGTTGGAGGTGAGTGGAGGGGAACTCGGCTCCTCCTCCGCGCGGTGCGATGACGACGCCGCGTCGGCGTGCGTCCGGAGGAGCGGCGGGGGCAGGGGAGTGGGGCGGTGGAGGAGCTGGAAGACGATGAGGATGGAGAGCAGGGGAAGCGCGAGGAGGAGCACGCGGAGGGGGACGCCGTGGGACGACGGGGTCGCCATGAGCGGCGCGGCGGGGAAGTGTCCGGGGCCGAGCCGTCGAGTCGAGGTGGCGGCGGTGGTGGTGGTTTGGGTGGGAAGTGGAGGCGCATGAAAAGGGAAAACCAACCGTCCGTCCGCAACGGAAGGAATCAGGTGCGGAGTCAAATTCAAATTCAAGTCAATTTTGTTGGGAGGGGCCGCTATCCGATCTCTTGCGTTCCAGATGGACGGTTTTTATTGAAGTCACAATAGAGGATGTTTGAATAAAAAAAATAGAGGATGTTTGGATCCTATAATAATTGACTTAGGCCCTATTTGAATACCATATATGATTATAATAATCAAATTTTGATCCGAACACGATTAATTATATATAGATTATTGTTATAAATATTTTTTATTACCATAATTGCATAATCCAGGTGAGACTAGTTTAGAAGATTATGGGTGCTGAAAGTCTAACTTACACCGCAACCGATTGTCCAATTTGCTAAAAAAAATTGAAGGGTTGTCAAGGGAAGTCCCAACCTATTTTTTTATATACAAATGGAGACAAAAAAAAAGTATGTACATATTACAGGGCTTGCAAAGCTCAAAGAAGAAGAAAAAACATACAATTATGGTAGACTGTCTCGCCATAAACTTAGGGGGTCTAAAATCTGTTGCTTGGCTTTGATACATACCAAACCAAGCTCCTCTTTGAAAGCTGATTTCCAAATTGCCAAGCTGCAAGTTTTGATGTAAAAAATGATCCCATCTAGTGGTTCGGATTGTCCAGGAAGCAGTGATGGAATCTCTCGGAACCAATTTGACAAATTAAAGGATATAAGATAGGAATTTCTCACGTTAATCAACCATATTCCTGGGACCAAAACACTCTGGTTATTATGATCCTGAATTCATTTTCTAAATTATTATTTGGAGAGCCATTTAAATAAAATTTGCTTTCTATAATGTTTCACCTTCCAACAACTTCTTTGTGCACTTTGGAGAGTTAATATGTGCTCTTCATCTTTGGCTACTTTGAAGATCTCTGCTCTCCGTGTTTGGATAGCGAGAAACTATGATAAAGAATAGTTATATTTAGAGTTCTAATTAAAGAAGCTGATGGAAGACTTCGTTTATCAAAATCTCTATTTCTATCCATACAAATGACACGTAATGAAGAGATAGATTTAGGCATAAGCTGCAATACATTTTTCAACCTCGTAGTTTGAATTTTTCAACATCGACTACAAACCCGGATAAATCGATGTCCTCTAGTTATCAAAATCAGAAAAATTTGCTCCTGTAACTGGTCTCAAATGTGTTTTTTTCTATTTTAATAAAAATGTAGTTTATAATATAAAAGTTCATAATTAATTTATTTTATAAATCAAGAAAAAATTGAAACTAATCACATTTTCATAAAATGTTTTGTAACTATTTATGATATATAGTTATTTGGAACTAGTTTATTTCTGTTCATACTGGTTTATTGCTCCTAGTTATGCTTGTGATTTTTTAAATGATACAGATAACTCGAAACAAAGCACCAACAAAAAGATAAGGTTTCTAGAAGAAAATTGGGATCAATTTCATATTGTGCTGATTCAAAATAAACTAACTATGAATATTTAGAAATCAAACCAGATTTTTATTATTGTGGAAAATAAAAAACACCTTTGAAATCCGTTAGAAGACTAAATTTATCAGTTACCCAATTTCATAGTTTATGGTCGAAAATTAGACTAACGGACAACTTGGAGCCAGGTTGGAAAATGTACTTCACCATTAGACAAATGTTGGTAGAATCCACTTCTTTGATTGACTCGCCATATTGGCGTGTTTAGTGTGTCCAATGTTTGGGTTAGTAGAACTTATTACGAGTCAAAATATCGAGCAAGAACGTCACAGTTCACACAAAAAAAAAGAAGGAAGGCGGGTGAAGGAAGGAGAGAGAGAGAGAGAGAGAGAGAGAGAGAGAGAGAGAGAGAGAGAGGGAGAGGTACAGAGAATCCTCAATCCTTGATCACCAACACGGGTATGCGAAACAAAAGAGGAGTGGATAGTGAGATAGCGACAGCGTCCATGAGACTCAAATGAGTGAAAACGTCAGACGCGGGTGCATGCTGGGTAGCTTGTCTCTTGAGTTATTTGTATAGGTGCGATGCATTTCTGCTTTGTAAAGAAGCAAAGAATGAATTTGCTGTATCATTATTATTATTAGAAATAGAAACATAGGATGAATATTCGTTGGAAGAAAGGAGATCGAGAAAAGAGACGAGTGGAGGCCGAAGAACGAGAATCCCGTCCCGTCCAGGGCATCATCATCATCGCCAATACACGCCACGGCCCACCCACCGGTCAAGATCCGCACTGGTTGACGAATGACGACGACAGAAGAAGAGAGAGGGAAGCTGGATGGAAACCTCGGCCATCCACCTGTTTTCCTTTGCTCCACCCACGGCCACGGACGAAAAGAGGCAGGCAGTCGGTCCAAAAAAGGAGGAAACGACGCGTCTTGGGTCAGTCATGGGTGGGCGCAGTCGCCCCTTGCGGGCTGCGGCCACGGACGGACCTTGGTGCGTCATCCGGCTCCGGCCCATGCCAAGCAGGCGTCATGTCATACATACAGATGTCACACGTCTTCCTCCGGCCGGCCGGTCGCCTTTGGTTGCCTGCGACTGCCCCACCGCTGATTGCCCAATCTGGCAAGCTCTCTCCACTCCTCCGTTGTTGGTTGACAACAGCTCAGAGCAACGCCGTTGCTGGCCGGCACCAACAGGCTAAGGCTAGCAACAGACAGCCGCTACAGAGTACGCGACGACGTGATCGAGCAAGGATTTACCACCACAAAAGTTAAGCCGAGACGGCAGAGAACCATGCAACAAAGTTAACAGAGACCAATACAAGTTCAGTGTCAGGTACTACAGCCGCCGTAAGTTTTATTTCTATATGCTGTAATAACAGGCTGCCATTGAAGTATACTAGAAAAGGAAGCGCCCTACAAGGGTCCTACTGGGAAGCAATAATATAAAACTAGCAAGAGCCCCGCGGCAATTGCCGTGGGCCAGGCAGAGGCAGCTGACATTTTGGGGGTTTTTTGTCGTCTAAAACATAATACGCATCAATTATCTGTGACGCGTATAGGCAAGGGTAACAAACGTTAAATTTTTTGAGATATGATCTTTGTACCAGTAAAAGTACCATGTACAATTGTACATGCTGTTAGGAACAGAGACAACATATGTAGTAGTGGAAGGTGGTTTGTCTACAAAGAGTACACAAAGGTCTGAAGGTTACATGCTGGAAAATAAGCGAAGAGAAAAACACATTTCATAGTCATCTTCATAACTATGAGAATGACAACACAACATGTAACTGAAGGTTAACCCATATATAGGAAGGTTATCGCTAGAATGAGATAATGGCCCATCCAGCACACTATCATCCATAGAAGATTCTTCAAAGAAAAGCATGATTAAAAGAGAGTACAAATTCTAGGAGGCACGACTAAAACTCAAGTAGAAAAAGCAGCGCTAATAGAGCTGGCCTATGGGTAGAGCAATGGAGCAATGCTTCTGATTTATGAATCCTTCAATATGTAAGGCTTCCGGTTTTTATGGGATTCTCCAATTGGTGCAGCATTTATTTTTTGGCCGTGAGAAATCTGATAAAAAAAAAACAGAGTGGCAACCATGCAATGGCTAAAAAGCAGAGCGCGATGAACATGTGCTTCTCCAATTGGTGCAGCATTTATTTATTGGCTGTGACAAATCTGATTAAAAAAAACAGAGTGAGTGCATTAGTAACCATGCAATGGTTAAAAAGCAGAGCGCAAAGAACATAGGCGTTATGGAACAATAAGTGATATAGATTAGCAAATAGGTGATGTTACTCCTGGCAAAGCTGCATATAGCTGTCCCCAGCCAAGAAGATTTTTTTTTTACCATACTAATTCCATTAAACGCTTCAAGGCTTTTTTCTCAATTTCCTTATAGGAGGGTACAGCTTCGTATCTGTAAGAAACATAACAACTGTAGAACTATTAATCGATAATGTCAACTAAACAATAGACTTGCAAGAATGACACACTACTTTGATGGCTACGCCTAGTGGTGTGCATCTTTTTTTGGGCAGTGAAGGAGATCTGGATGTTGGATAGAGCATAATTATTATCTTTGGGGTTGGGATGGTAGGCATAGAATTACATATATAATATCTGTGGGGTTGGGCAGGTAGCAATAAAATTACATATGTAATTGCAGGCACAAGAATGGTGGGAAAAGATGATTAATTTTGGTTAGCAAATTTATGGCAATGAACTGGTAGAGGTGGAAAGGAACATCTACAATATGTTGAAGCTGATATGTAATGTTAATGTCAACGAAGGGTGGGCCTGGTGCAAGCGGTAGAGTCTTACCGCCTATGACCGGAAGGTCCCGGGTTCGAGTCGCGGTCTCCTCGCATTGCACAGATGAGGGTAAGACTTGCCACTGACACCCTTCCCCAGACTCCGCACACTGCACTGGGTACACCCCTTTTTTATACGTAATGTCAATGCTTTTAGTTGTTCTAGGCGTCATCCCTGACATAGATGATAGTGTTCACAGGGGCACCTACTATTTCTTTTCTTGTTGGAGCAAAGTTTTACAACCCGAGGCTTTATTGCCAATGCGGCAGTGCCAGCACTGAAGCAATGGCAAGAACATAGTCTGATACCTGAAAAATATGTTGAGGTAATCAGAAGGAATCCCAGCAGTGTAGGTTCTATGACTAATGGTGTAACCAACTGATATATTTCTTTTTTGGCGACAAACAGTAAAGAGCGTGGTTCAATTTAAAATATGTTTTTTCTTAACTTTCTTAATGAATGTATACACAGCTACATCATTTTTCCCTATAGATATAAATGAATGAAAAGTTTTCAGAACAACAATTGACAAAATGGTAACTGCATACCTGGTAACCAACAAAAAGGAATTTTCATCTTTTCTTCAATTCTATACCTGCTATTACTATAAGCAGTATTATTTATG